AGATCACCCTTTACAGCAGATTTAGTTCACAAACAACTGACAGTTTTGACCTAAATATGATTTTCAGTTACAATAATTAATCCTAAAATTCGACATTAGTAACTTACTTTTAGCAGCATCAGTCGCGCACGCGCTCACAAGATCTCCCGGTTCTTACTTGTGAATTCAGTTCACTGGAGACTCGCACTAAACGGTTCATTTGAATCAGTGAGTTGTCGACTCGAGAACAGCTGCTATCGGTTCATTCTAATTCGTGAATGAATCGTTTGGTGCGATTTGCGAACCGATTTAGAAGGTTAATTGAAAAGAATCAGTTCGTTCTTGAATCAGACACCGCTTCTGCGTCTCGAAGCAAGTGATCTATTATAAGGCGTAACGATTTGTTTTATGAAATGTAGTGAAGTAAAAAGTACGATCTTATGCTTTGGAATGTAGTGAAGTAAAAGTAAAAATTACTCAAAATAAAACTACTCCAGTAAAATACTTGAAAAATGTACTTAAGTACAGTAACGAAATAAAACTACTCCATTACTGTCCACCACTGTTTACTGTCTTTACATTTATTTTGAAAGATGAAGCTCGCGATTCAAGTCATGTCACTCGGGGGCCATCTTTGAAATGCCTCTCGGGCATGCAAGTGCAGCTATCACTTTGTGTGGGGAAACATTAAATTCTCCCAAACTGTTCAGTAAGCTTACGATTAAATTTCATATTTGAAATCACCAATGAAATCTGACAACAAGTTTTTTTCTTTTTAAAAAGCTTTTTTCCCCCAGGCTAGATCAGCCAGTGCGAAGCGCACGTCTCAGACGAACGCTGACTGTTTCTATAGCAACCGGGACGCTTCTGAGGCAGCTGCAGTGATGGCTGATTTTACAGATTAGCAGTAGGTTGTTTGCACATGACGTCACTGATGACGCGCGAAATGCAGCTGGAGGGCAGGAAGTGATTTGTCTCTATAGGAATCACTAGCAGAAACTCCTAATGGCTGTGTTTTGTGTTGTTTATGGATGCTCAAATTGGCCAAACCGAGAAACCACAAGGAGCTTTTATCGTGTACGAAAATGTGTTGTTCATGAGTGGGGAAAAGTCAAGAAATTGGTTGAAAAACACAGGGAAAAGTGGCTTGTAAACCTGCGTCTGCGGTCGGGAGGAGCCGAGCCGGATAATGCTCGTGTGTGCAAATGGTTAATATAAGATATATTAAAATATGAAGATATAATAATATATGAAGATATATCACTTCCTGCCCTCCAGCTGCATTTTGCGCGTCATCAGAATCCCGTGATTGCAAACAACCTATTGGCTCTTTAATTCAGAAGGCGGGGCTTTCTGCGATTGAACAGCCATATTGAGCGTTGCATTTTCCCCCATTCAAAATTGGGTACTCTATAGTCTTTGCCTATACACAGACAGACACACACAAAAGTTGCGGCTGTTCAGCAATGCTGAAGTGGTGGTTGAGGTGCTATATATAGCACTGCTCCAGTATAAAGAACCTGTTAAGCCCAGATGGTTTTTCAGCGGTTCTTTGGTGTGATTGAGGTGCTATACCACCAGTGTCATGCAAAGAGCTCCTGTATAACTCTGTATAACCAAGTCTCTTAGTTTAGTTGGGGTCTTGGAGAAAGGATAAAAAAAAACATTAAAATACAGTGTATTTCCTGAAGATAATGTGGTTATCAAGCTTTTTGCCCCCAAGGCCCACCAATAAGGAAATATTCCAAGGCCCCCACACATGACTTTTTTACATCAGAAAAGCATAAAAGTGATTCAAAACATTGTAGTAAATTCATATTCATAGCAAACATATGAGAGTGGAGTAACACATCTAAAATCTCAGGAGGAGAACCATTCTACATAACACCGTTTGACAAAGGTACTGTTTAGCACTTTTAAAGATAGGTAGCACTTAAAGTGGTTCCCCTGATTACAAGCCAGTGCACCACTGTTAGTGCTATTTAGCACCATTTTTGTTTAGATTGTAGTTGCAAAAATGTGGTTAGTGTTGCTGAGTTTTTTCCAGTTGTGCATTATCTCCCAAACCACAATTCTCCACACCGCTTGTCTTATAGGAGTCTATATTTCCTTTGGGTTCCACTGTCATGCAGAGTTTAGCTCTAACCCTTATCAAACTCACCTGAACAAGATAACCAAGGCCTTCAGGACTACTAGAAAACTACAGGCAGTTGAGTACGATCAGGGTTGGAGTTCTTCAGAAAAGTGGATCTCGAAGGTTAGAGTTGCCCAGCCCTGTTGTAGAGACTTTGATAGGTTTACATTTATGCATGGCACACATACATTTCTGGAGCATATTCTGGACTAATTGAAATCATTCATTAATTTTTAATTTTTATTATTATTAGTATTATTTCTTTTACAATAGTAACAGTAAATAGTTGTTTCATTGTGGTGTCGTATTTTATTTTATTATCATTTCCTGATATTATTTACTTACTGTCATAATGGTGATGTCCAGGAGGGCCAACATCCTGCAGAGTTTAGCTTTAACCAGCTCCAGCACACTTGCGTGGAAGGTTCTAGTGAGACCTTGATTCGCTGGTTAAGGTCTAACTCTGCAGGACAGTGGACCTGCAGGAACAGGTTTGGACACCCCTGGTCATAACAGTTCACAACTGCCTTGTGTTAAATTCTTTCTGGTTTCCAAAAAATACTGGTATGGCAATCTTTTCAACATGTTAACTTATTGACAGCAGAGCTCATATTTGAATGGTCTGTTAAGCAATCAATCATTTAACACTAAGTTATTATAAAGTGATACATGATCTAGCAGTGGTTCTCAATAGTGATGTACATTTGAACCGAGGAATCGGAGCTCGTGTGGAGACTAAATGGGCGTGCCAGATGAAGCCTCAATTCTAGGCTTGTGTTGTTAATGTAGAAATCATGTGACCAATGACAAACGAAACCTCACTTTCAGTTCATTTTGTGTGTAGCAATGTGCGAATCCCCAGATCTTACTTTACCAGTAAGTTTTTATTCGGACTTACTCAATTAAAAATTTTAAATAACCAGTCATACAAGAAGGCCTAGTATAAAGAATGCAAATTATTTCAGGAAAATAAAATATTTGCCATATGCAATTCATATGTGTACATTATTCTTCTGTTACATCATATTGCTATTTGTAATGGTAATGGCATTAACGGCCACAGTTTATTGGGTAAATTAATTTATCAGAGAGAGAAATTCAACAAACACAAACACACATACTGTTAGGCTTTTATTTGTGTACATGAATCGATCTATGGAATGTGTTGTAGAGGCTTCGTCCGTTGTTATGCTTTCTAAGCATAACATCTAGAATATTTTTTTTTCCACCAGATGGCAACAATCTTAACAAATAGCTACATGATATATTCTCATATTTTCTTTATGTTTCAACTTAAGTTTAGATTTTTTTATCGTTGTGAAGGTGCACAGGCCTACTCGACTTGTGTAGGAACTTTTTTACACAGACTATCTGAATATGTACAATGTCGAAATAATGTCTGTTAATAATGATTTACTTGATAAAACCTTTGTTCATTCTTTGAAAATAAAATGTTAGAGTAGCTATATTAGCCTATTTTTGGTGGTTTATAAAAAAAATCTCTTTACCAGCAATAAATAAATAAATAAATATATAAGTATATAAAAAAAAAAATCAGATGAGGTGAATTCGACAGAACATTCTTTCTAACCTCCACAAAAGCTGAGAGGTGTCGAGCGCCCTCTTCAGGCATGAACGTTCATTTCTTGTGGATGTCATCAGTCACCCTTGGCAACCAAAAACAACATGTAAAATGCAATTTTATCGTTGTGAAGGTGCACAGGCCTACTCGACTTGTGTAGGAACTTTTTTACATAGACTATCTGAATATGTACAATGTCGAAATAATGTCTGTTAATAATGATTTACTTGATAAAACCTTTGTTCATTCTTTGAAAATAAAATGTTAGAGTAGCTATATTAGCCTATTTTGGTGGTTTATAAAAAAAAATCTCTTTACCAGCAAAAAATAAATAAATAAATATATAAGTATATAAAAAAAAAATCAGATGAGGTGAATTCGACAGAACATTCTTTCTAACCTCCACAAAAGCTGAGAGGTGTCGAGCGCCCTCTTCAGGCATGAACGTTCATTTCTTGTGGATGTCATCAGTCACCCTTGGCAACCAAAAACAACATGTAAAATGCAATTAAGCTGTCTTCACATGCTTGTGAAAAGATCCTACTTCCTATTATTTTAATCATAAAGAGAGAATATATGAAACCTGCTAGGCTTGCTGACAATAAGGGAATTGTTGTCCAAAAGATGCTTTTTATCCACGTAAAATTGTTTTACAAAATGCTGTCATGAATTAACTTTTTTTAAATTAATTTTTAGGGCTTGTCTCATTTGTTTAATAGCCAAAAGGCTTGAGTATACATTACATCAATGCTTTCTGCTTGCTATTTCTATAATGAGTTCAGAGTTAAAGCATTAACTAAAAAGGCCAGTTTTGAAGGTTACGAAAGCTATGAAATCTATACCTTCAGAGTTGAGGCTCAGCGGATGCTATAAAGGCTCAGCAGATGCTGGGTTTGGTGCTTATGCAGGTCATAAGAGTTCCAGTCTGACTCACAACATTTCCTGACCCGCAGATTGCCTGTCAGCTAAAGCTCTCTGAAAGAGAACTATTTTTAATTTTTAGAAAAGTATTTTTTAGAGAAGTATTTTTAATAGAGACGAACTAAAGCGATTATACTGTTGGGTTTCCTTTGTGGCTGTCATTCTCAGAATAAAATAGCCTGCATCTTCAAGTAATTTAAATAGAGCTAAAAATAGAGATGAAAAGTAATTTTAATGATGAAACAAAAGCGATAACACCTTTTGCTCTGTTTCTCCTTTGTGGCTGTCATTCTCAGAATTAAAATATATCTTCAGAGTGTCACATCCTCTCCAGTCTAGAGCTAAAGAAGAGTAATAAAAGTGAGTCACACAAACCTTTATTATAAGAGTAATGGGATCTACACTTTATCAGAGGTGGTAACACAGAACTAACAAAAATAACAATAGAAACGTTTTACAAAAATGACATTAGGAGAAAACGTCATGATGTGTTATGTATTATGTCATCTGCTTAAAATATCAAACAACAGATTAATAAAATGATAAACAAAACTCAATTTGATGTTACAGTGTTATTATGAAGAGTATGTATAAAGAAGAGAAATAAAGCAAGTTGATGTGGAGCCTGTTTTCAGTTCCTGCTTGTGACACCAGACCCAGACAACTCAACGGATGATTCATTGTCACAATTATAGCTGCCAAAAAAAGGCAGAATTGCTGATGAAAAAAATCTACAGCATTTTATTTTGAAATCATATTTTTTTTACCTCAATATGTAATGTTTGGAAAATATAAAAGATATAGAGCTTATAGCTAAAATGAAGCAAAAATGGAAAGAAATGGTGTAATTCTTGGATATTCTCATTCATATATAAAAACATGCAGGTAGATCTTTAATAATAACAACAGAAAATTCATGACAAAGTCTCCTCCAACATAATGGATGTTAAGACTGCATTAGAAAATGCCTCAAAAAAAAAAAAAAAGAGAACATGAAAACGTTTCTGAGATTACACAAACTGAAATTGGTTTCTTCCCAATTCCAGATAAAAACACCCATCACTTCTATTCTTGCACTCTTGTTCATGTCATTTGCACTCTTTTCAGGCCATGACAGAGAAGTACGAGGTATTCTCACTCTCCACTGAGCTGAATGATCCAGTAGGCCTGCGGGTTGATCCCCGACCGTTTGCCCATCCTGCTAATCCGAGGCACCCCTGGGGTCCTAAAGCAGCCTTGCACATCTGGGCCAACTCACGACGGAACTTTACCCCCACAAGGCCATAGAGTAGAGGATTTAAAGCGCAATGTGCCAACCCCAGGCTTTCTGTCACGAAAGTGCCCACATCTAGCACCTTGTTGAGTGCGCAGGTTTTGACAATGACCCCAAGGATCTGCAAGCTGTCAGTCATCCGCAAGGCATTATAAGGCGCCCAACTGACTACAAACACAATGACCAATGAGATGATGAGCCTCAGCGAGCGCCGTTTCTGCCTACGTGTGGCGTGGCACAGTGCTTTGAAAATGCGAAGGTAGCAGTACAGCATGACTAATAGGGGAAGTATGAATCCAAGAATCATGCTAACCAGCTGCATGCCGATCTGCCATTGCTGGCTGTTCTCTTGAGAAAAATCTATCTGGCATATCAACCGATTTATGCCGTATACGTTCACCACGTTACGGTAGTACACGTCCACCATCGCCAATCCCAGGCAGACGCCCCAGATGATGGCACAGGCCAGCTGAGCGTGGCAGGTCTTGCGTCTCCAGCTGATATTAATGGCATGTACGATAGCCAAGTATCGGTCAAAGCTGATGCAGGCCAGGAATAGCACCCCACAATAGACGTTCAGCGAGAACAACGCTCCAGCTATTTTACACATGAATACACCGAAAACCCACTCGTTGATCCACTCGACGGCGAAAAATGGCAACGTTACAGCCAGTAGGATGTCAGAGATGGCCAAATGGAGCAGGAAGGTGTCTGTCAGTGAGAAGGAGCAGGGGCTGTGTCGAGACTGCCGATAGCGGCGGATCACACACAGAACCAGAATGTTACCCACTAGTGCCAAGATAAAGACTAGAATGTAAGCCACAGGGGCAAAGCGACCAAGAATGTCCCACGTTTCCCTCAGACTGCAGGGGGCAGCAGAGTCATCATCTTGTCCAGTGTAGTCATTGAAAGAAGTGTTTGAGTAGTCATAATCTGTGTACTGTAACAGAGCAAAGGACAATATTCTGTTAATTCAGATTGTTAACTTTTGTTTGTTTGTTTTTTCAGTACTGTTTTTACACTCACCTCTGAAACATCTGTAGTTGTTGTGGTGTGCTTCATGATGAGCTTCAGAGAAGTTAGACATACAAGTAAAATAGTGGGCACGAGATGCACTCGTCTCTCACGTTATCTTGTCTATATGTCTCTCCTTTCTTTTGGGCAAATGCCAGAAAAATAGAGGGATAGAGAGAGAGAAGTCAGACCACAGAAACTGAATCCTACTCGTACAACTACTGCAATGGGGAACTGAAGGCTTCGTCCACAGGGAAATAAAACTGCACTCATTTGATAAATTTAAAAGAAAACATGTTTTTGAAATCCCCAATTTGCGGAGAGCAGACATTTTCAAATATTTTCTCGAAAACACAACATCTAGCAAAGTTGGTTGTCACAGATCTGAAAGTGTATAAAAATATCTTATACTTTTTTAAAGGGAAGTTTATAAAGGGTTCTTGGGGCAAAAGCGGCAATAGTAGAATACAACTCGAGGGAACTGAAATTAGCATTGCATAAGTTTGGCACATGCAATGAAACATAATATAAAACAATAATAAAAAATTATATTTTACCATTATCTGCCGTTACCATATGTATTTTAATAATTTTGATGGATGTAGTATTGTTGCTAGTAAAATCCTTGAAAAAAGACAAGGGAATTATTATTACTTGCAGGAACTTTTGCAATGAATGTAAAATAGAAAGAATATTCTTATTTATTGTAACTAATTTCAAAACCAAAATATTTTCACACTGCAGTGAAACTATTTAAATTCTACTTAGTTATTATAATTGTACATATTTTTATATTTTCAAAAACAGTCTACAGTCTAAAGAATCTATTTTTAAAGAAGTATTATAGTTGTGTCAGGGACTAACATTAAATATTAGAGTACAGTAGAAGCACAAATCAAAGTCTCGTACCTGTTTTCTCTGTGCTGTCTGTGCAGGGGTTGACTAACCCAGATAAAATGGTGGTCTGATTATAACTGAATTTGTTCAGGAAACACGTTTATCTTAGTGCTTCCTGACTTTTTCTCTCTTCCTTTTTTGCTCTCTCCACAAACCATACTCTTACTGGAAATATTTTCAACATCATATGTAGTGTTTTTAAAAGGTGCTTGTAAAACTAAGGAGAATCCGTTTTGGTTAAAACATCTTCTCCTTTACTGCTCAGATCTGTTTTATCTCATTTTTTATCAAATGATATTCTGATTCATCTTTCCTGTTAATAGACAGGAAGCCGATAACCTCAGTCAGTTATAAACAAATTAGTGATACGTGATGATCTGTTGTTTAGACTATTTACATTTATGATGATTTCTGACTAAACTAACATGCAAGGAAGAGCATTCTATTTGTGAGGATTATCTCAGCAAAAGGTTGACACATAAGTCTAGTGTAGTACTCGGGTGTAATTTGGTGTATTGGTTAATTGATTTATATTTGCAGTATTTTTGATTTGGGTGTTTTATTTTGCCAGCAATTAAAGCAACAACAATACAAATCTGGTTTCAGAAGGTTTTAATTTACATCAAACCATTGGAGCCATAGTCTTGTGGCAGCTTTTAGACATATAATGTAGCTGTACCTTACTTTGAGTCCCAGCTCATGTGTCTATTGTGTCTCTTGCTCCTCCTTGTTATTTCACGTCTCATCTACCCTGTATAACTTGAAAAATATAACTCGAAAGAAACAAGCCAGGAAAGGTACTGTGACATACTTATGGCTTTGGGCCCACAGTATATATAAATATCGAACCATAACAGCCTTTGGTTAAAGCATTCTTCTTAATCTGTTTTATAATATGCTAAATTTCCTCTGCAAGACCGGGTATATAATATTTTCACACCCTGAATTCACACTCAATGTGTTGCATATGATTTGTGATGAGGGCATTGTCACAGTGCAATTGTATTTCCTTTGAGTTTACATGTTAACACAACAAACGCTTCTTGAATTTTCACAGAACAGCTCTGATGTGTGGTGACACCTTCCCAGAAGTTTAACCACATCCTATCTGGCCACACAGTAATATAAATTTATAAGAATAAAGCACAGCCATTTCACTGTAAACAGGCTATGATCTTTATTTCTTACAAAAACTTTTAAAATATAGTATCTGCTTATATCAGAAGTAAATATTTCACTTCCAAAGTGAGAATTGAGTATTGAGTAATGACCAGTGTTGGGGAAAGTTACTTTTAAAAGTAATGCATTACAATATTGCTTTACTCCCTAAAAAAGTAACTAATTGCATTACTTAGTTACTTTTTATGGAAAGTAATGCGTTACGTTACTTTTGCGTTACTTTTTCTCATTTGGGCTGGGCTTGCTAATTTGTTTTTAATGTAAACATTTCTATTTTTGGCAAATGTAAAGGCCCTTTCACACCAAAAGTGAAACGAATACGTCTCAGCCATTCTGGACTGCATGAAGCATAGAATGCAGGAGAAGAAAGTTCAACACTCTTCAGCAATTTTTGCTCATTAATATGGCTGAATTGGCTCATCGAAAGTTGGCAGCAAAGATATTGATTAATAAAATGTGATTAAATGCATAAAAGATATTTTTATTTAATACATTTTATTATTGCAGGTTTGCATTGCACTGTTTTCATTCATTTTGAGGAATACTGAATCTGAAGTGAGATGAGTAAATGCACGTTGACATTTAGTCTAGAACTACAGTAACATTTTGTTCAACATCTTCTCCTTTACTGCTCAGATCTGTTTTATCTCATTTTTTATCAAATGATATTCTGATTCATCTTTCCTGTTAATAGACAGGAAGCCGATAACCTCAGTCAGTTATAAACAAATTAGTGATACGTGATGATCTGTTGTTTAGACTATTTACATTTATGATGATTTCTGACTAAACTAACATGCAAGGAAGAGCATTCTATTTGTGAGGATTATCTCAGCAAAAGGTTGACACATAAGTCTAGTGTAGTACTCGGGTGTAATTTGGTGTATTGGTTAATTGATTTATATTTGCAGTATTTTTGATTTGGGTGTTTTATTTTGCCAGCAATTAAAGCAACAACAATACAAATCTGGTTTCAGAAGGTTTTAATTTACATCAAACCATTGGAGCCATAATCTTGTGGCAGCTTTTAGACACCTTACTTTGAGTCCCAGCTCATGTGTCTATTGTGTCTCTTGCTCCTCCTTGTTATTTCACGTCTCATCTACCCTGTATAACTTGAAAAATATAACTCGAAAGAAACAAGCCAGGAAAGGTACTGTGACATACTTATGGCTTTGGGCCCACAGTATATATAAATATCGAACCATAACAGCCTTTGGTTAAAGCATTCTTCTTAATCTGTTTTATAATATGCTAAATTTCCTCTGCAAGACCGGGTATATAATATTTTCACACCCTGAATTCACACTCAATGTGTTGCATATGATATGTGATGAGGGCATTGTCACAGTGCAATTGTATTTCCTTTGAGTTTACATGTTAACACAACAAACGCTTCTTGAATTTTCACAGAACAGCTCTGATGTGTGGTGACACCTTCCCAGAAGTTTAACCACATCCTATCTGGCCACACAGTAATATAAATTTATAAGAATAAAGCACAGCCATTTCACTGTAAACAGGCTATGATCTTTATTTCTTACAAAAACTTTTAAAATATAGTATCTGCTTATATCAGAAGTAAATATTTCACTTCCAAAGTGAGAATTGAGTATTGAGTAATGACCAGTGTTGGGGAAAGTTACTTTTAAAAGTAATGCATTACAATATTGCTTTACTCCCTAAAAAAGTAACTAATTGCATTACTTAGTTACTTTTTATGGAAAGTAATGCGTTACGTTACTTTTGCGTTACTTTTTCTCATTTGGGCTGGGCTTGCTAATTTGTTTTTAATGTAAACATTTCTATTTTTGGCAAATGTAAAGGCCCTTTCACACCAAAAGTGAAACGAATACGTCTCAGCCATTCTGGACTGCATGAAGCATAGAATGCAGGAGAAGAAAGTTCAACACTCTTCAGCAATTTTTGCTCATTAATATGGCTGAATTGGCTCATCGAAAGTTGGCAGCAAAGATATTGATTAATAAAATGTGATTAAATGCATAAAAGATATTTTTATTTAATACATTTTATTATTGCAGGTTTGCATTGCACTGTTTTCATTCATTTTGAGGAATACTGAATCTGAAGTGAGATGAGTAAATGCACGTTGACATTTAGTCTAGAACTACAGTAACATTTTGTTCACACAGCAAACTTACTCCCGATTTCTCTCAACATGGGGACAGGAGAGTTGTCAGTCAATGAATGGGAAAACAAAGTAACTGGAGTTACTTATTTGAAAAAGTAACTCAGATATTTTATTGTAAATTAAAAAGTAATGCGTTACTTTACTAGTTACTTGAAAAAGTAATCTGATTATGTAACTCGCGTTACTTGTAATGCGTTACCCCCAACACTAGTAATGACTGCATGGTACAACAGATCCTACATATTCTTTAAAGTGCTTGATCCTTATTCATATTCGATCAGATTTCTGCAAAGTGTGGTTTATAATCAGTTACAAGTTTACAACATCAACTGTAGATCAACGTGTAAAACCAGAGCAGTGTTTTTATGTCTTCAGATATATAGACATTAACACTAAGTCCACTTGTAGATCTAACCTGTAATATTTATTTATGAATCTATTCATAACAGTGTGTTTCCTGGATTGTGGTAAAGATACAAAACATGTCCCAAGACTTTAGTCTCTTTATGACAGAGTATTTATATACAGTATATTAATAGACAGTTTTAAATTGATAACTTAAGCTTACTTATTATTCATTAGGTTTATTGATGACTGATCGCAAATCAACCAATGGCAACAATGACAGAATAATTTGTGACCTGCAATGATTCTGTCCACCACAGCGAAGCAGTATTTGTCTCTTTTTGTATGTCTGAACTGTATAGGCCTACTTCAAGTACAGCAGTAACCTGTGGGAGATTAACATCATTATCACAGCAGCAGTAGATGGACATTTGCTCTATATTTAGGCAAGTCCACTTGTAGATCTAACCTGTAATATTTATTCATGAATCTATTCATAACAGTGTGTTTCCTGGATTGTGGTAAAGATACAAAACATGTCCCAAGACTTTAGTCTCTTTATGACAGAGTATTTATATACAGTATATTAATAGACAGTTTTAAATTGATAACTTAAGCTTACTTATTATTCATTAGGTTTATTGATGACTGATCGCAAATCAACCAATGGCAACAATGACAGAATAATTTGTGACCTGCAATGATTCTGTCCACCACAGCGAAGCAGTATTTGTCTCTTTTTGTATGTCTGAACTGTATAGGCCTACTTCAAGTACAGCAGTAACCTGTGGGAGATTAACATCATTTATCACAGCAGCAGTAGATGGACATTTGCTCTATATTTCCACTTACCCATGCAAATATGTCAATATATTCATTCAAGTGACCCTCTTTAGACATATAGTCCAAGCAACTCAATTTGAACTATTTGAACTCCTTTTTCCTTTTGTAGTTACTTTTTATTTGTTCATGTTAATGCTAATGTCAGTATTTCTGCATCACAGATTAAATAAAGTTACAAAAATACAGAAATGTCCACACAACTCGACATTTTAACAGTTGTTCATGTAACTGCACTCAAAGCTTCTTGTTTCTAATGCTAATGAAGCCAGGGTTGTGTTTCAGATCCGTTACTTGAAACCTATCCAAGACGGTTGAAACTGTGGAGTGTGATTTTGACAATATAGTTGTGCAACGTATTATCTTCAGGCATTGTGAAATCATGTGGCCTGTGCACGTCTGTATGAGGCTACAGAGACCAGAATAAGGAACTGACTGAACTTACACAACAATCTTGAAATATTCATTTAAATCTGTTACGTCAAACAAAAACACACTGCAGAGTATGTAATATTTCTTCTTTTCAAATATAATTTATTGGTATTAATAGAACTTTTAAATATGAAAATACTGCCGAGTATGTAAATGTAAAAATTTTTTATTTCACATGTTTCACATATATGAAATACAGTATTTCACAACTGTTGAGAACTGTAAAACGTATGGAATTTCACATTCATATTTGACTTCTCATTTGAGATAATTTACTTAAGGGGCAGGAGGTTGGTTACAGTATTTGTACAAGCTGACCTCATAGACGCAGATGAAAAGCAAAAGAATTAGTAAGTGTTACAGCAGTGCAATACACTGGATAAGAAAACCAGAGACAAGCCCTGATGTGTAAACAATGAAGTCAAACAGCTCAACAGATTCACTGCACTATTATGAAACCGCACGTCATCTTTTAACATACCTTTGTCCTCAGCTGCTTTTAGATGTCTAAAGATGTGGCAAATTTAGTTTAATAATGCAAAAACGCTTTATTAATCAGCATCCTAATACAGATTTTAACTGATCTAACAAATCCTTAAACTCTTGTTTATATAGTTTGCGTATACTGTTAGTGTATGTGCCTCAACACTCCCTAATGACTTTTAAAGAAAATACACCTGGACTTAGCCTAAGAAAACAATTTCACACTTTGATTTTGGTATATCATTCTCAAATTTCAACCAGAACATGGCCAGACTTGGGACTTTGACTCTAGGGCAGGCATAGGCAAACTCGGTCCAGGAGGGCCAGTGTCCTGCAGAGTTTAGCTCCAACCCTGATCAAACTCACCTGCCTGTAGCCTTCTAGTAATCCTGAAGACAATGATTAGCTTGTTCAGGTGTGTTTGATCAGTAGGGTTGCCGACTTCAGAACAGGAAAATAACGGACAATCATGGTTTTTCATGGAAAAATAAGGGACAGAATAAGGGACACACACACACATGTATGTGTGTGTGTATAGTATGTATATACAGTATATGAAAATGCATATTTTTCAATTAAAGAGAACTTCTAGATTAAATATGTGCTGCTTTTAGTGCTAGACACTTTTTTATTGGTCGTTTTGTGTTTCAAGAATAAGGTCCAAGGTTAAGAATATGCTAGAAGTTACTAAAAACGAAAATGTTTTTCTCTATTTAACAACATTACAATAGTGAACGACAACTTCCCTTATTGATCACGTCTCAGTTAGATTGCATGTTTTCTTGCACGGCTGGATGTTGGACTCATGAAAAATAATCACGTTGTTTGCATTCGCCAAAACTGACTTGCCGAAGTCAAAACGGACAGTGAAGGGAATTGCGTTAGCACAAGCACCGCTTGCTGTGAAGTGGGAGCAACCAGCCAGCAGAGGATTCTGTAAGCCTACCTCGAACAGTTATGTTCACAGTTTGTGATTTACTTAACTGATCATGCGCGTGAGGGGGCTGTGATGGGATGATGACAGGTGTCGGTGATAATTTTCAAGTGTCATGATCAGCACTGCTGCTGTTGTATCAGTCAGTGTTTAGATCAGCTAGCATTCAATAAATGGGATAAGGGAGGTCACGTATTGGACAAATCAATTATTCCCAATATACGGACAGTTGGCAACCCTATTGATCAGGGTTGGAGCTAAACTCTGCAGAAGTTTACATCTTCTTATAAGCACTCCATGTTACAAGGACTTAATAAGATAACACAAATATTTACTTGTGAATGCACCACAAATCATACTGCACTACTTGCTTCTTAACCTTAAATACCTCTTTTGCACAATATCATACACAGTTATTATGTAAAGTACTTGTATAGTCTGTCTTAGGTTATGCGTATGTATAGTCAACTATTTATAGTATATTACTGCTTCAGATAGTTAGCTATGTAGGTCTAAAAATTGTTCTTAGTCTAGTGTTGTATGTTTATATTTATGTTTATTTATGTAGCACCGTGGTCCTGCGAGACATGACATTTCATTCCACTGTATCTCCACACATGTAGCGGAATGACAATAAATCTCAACTTGAACTTGAACTTGAGAACAGTGGCCCTACAGGACCGAGTTTGCCCATGCCTGCTCTAGGGCCTTTCTGTACCAGTGTCAAGTGTTCTTCACTAAAAACCTGTCTGAAACACTGTGCAAACACTACACTAGTCACATTCCAGTATATATATATATTTTTTTTTTTTGCTCAAAAAGGGTTTATGGTGCAGTTCAGGGGTGAACGGTGACTTTTTTAACCAGGCATGCTGAAACATCCAACTCTCTACATTGAGGCCCAGCACATCAGCTTAGGACTCAAAGACACATACTGAAATCAGAGAGAGAGAAAAAAAACACTATGGCAGGTGTAAAAGTATGCCCACTTTCATACCTTATTTGTAAATGAAATTAATTCTCTAAACTTCCTTATGTTGCGTTACGTTAGCAACATTGTTTTTCTGCTTGGATGAGCAAACCAAGTACTTTTCTAGTGCATAAAATCTTCCATGTGCCAACAACTAATCAAAACGAAGCACAATGACAACAATTCATAGCAGCAGAATGTAGACACCAAACACTGTGGATCCGCTTGCCTGAATCATATTGCAGAAAACTACTATTTAGCAAATGAATAATTTGCAGACATTCTTATTATGAGATAAGTCAAAATTACCAAATAAAAAGTCATAATTAAGAAAAAGTCAAAGGTTTTTGTCATAATTTTGTTTTCACATCATAATTATGACTTTTTAACTAATCATTTTGACATTTTATGTCATATTGACAGTGTTTTATCTCATAATTTTGACTTTTTATCTTATAATTTAGTTTTCTACTTCAGAATTTTGGCATGTGTTGTAATTATGATTTACCAAACCTCCATACGTTTCTAACATCAGCTTAATGACAATACCTCAACTGACAAGGAAATGTATTTGGTAATCACTGCTGCATCTGTCAAAAAGGCCAATGTTCATGCAGGTAACACAAAGCACTTTTAGTACTTTTCTAGATGTTTTAAAAGTTGTAGATAACATATTGTCGTAAAGGAAGGGTGCGGAGACCTAAAATAGCGCAAAACTCCTCGCCCCCAAATCAAACACTTCACCCTTTATTTTACAGGTCACATAATCCACTCACCACTAGTAAAGCTTCTCCTCCCCTTTGTTATGCTTGAGTTGACTTCCAACTTCACTGAGATCTATCACAAATAGAGCATCATTCCCGAGGAAGTGAGACACATACAGTAACAGGAAGCCTCTCCAAAGAAAGGTGAGAGAGAGAGAAGATCTCATTTTAAACCTTCTTTCTATAGCTTAGAAATGACATTTATGTTATGTCCTATAATTAATACTTATTTAAAATATCTCTGTTTGATATAATAGCCATCAAATGAAAAATGCATTTTTATCTTGCAAAATGATCAGGGACGATTTCTTGAAGGTAAGCTATTGAATCACGTTGCCGCTTAAATCTAGAGACTGTTTTTAAGCAGAATAGTCAATGTAATTAAATGAATTCATGAAAGATAGGATTTCAGGCTATATAGATTTGCTCACTGGTTTCGAATTAGTGAATCTGAGATTTTTCTCTGTATTTATCCTGTTAACACTAGAAAGCATAATGTGACATATCTGTCTACTTTGTTCACAGTGACAGGTTTTATGCCTTTGTACATGTATGTCAGTATTGTGAAGAGACATTTTTAATGTAAATAGAATAAAAGGGAAAAGGGGTCTGAGAAGTTGGAAATTGGCAGTTGAGACAGGTCATGTGAGAGTACATTAGAGAAGTTTGTTTCTGAATTTTGTAATTGTGGGATGTTTTTGTATCTGTTGCCCTGCATGTATTCATATAAACTGGATACTTCCAATCCATAATCTTTGAAGTGATTTTATAAATTTCATAATAAATAAATAAAACATCCATAAGTTCTTGCTGTATTTGTTACATTTGAAGAGAAAATAAAATGTAAATTTGACTAGTAGCATTATGGATTAATATATAATAACAGTTTATTTCCAATTTAAACTGATTATAACCTTTCCCTCTTTTTTCTAGCAGCTGGCTGTATTAAGCTCTCAGTATTAGGTGCTGCTCACACTGAGTGAAGAACCTCATAGTGTTGGACTTTGATGAAGGCAGTCAGTGGGAGTTCCATTTTAAAGTGGAATTGAAAAATATGGCAGATTCAGCACGTCGTGAACTGATCATAAAGGCAATATTCATCTGCCTTCTTAAACTTGTTTTCAGCTACAGTTTCAGGAGTTGCACAGAGATCCCTGATTCTAACCATAAAATCTTCAGATGCATTAAATGTCATGAAACAGACATAACTACAGTTGTGAGCGATGTATTTCACACTGCAACAAACCTTACAGTTTCTCGGAATAACATTGCATACATTCAAGGCCAAAGCTTCCATCATCTGTCCAATCTGACTTCTCTGGTACTAGACGCTAACCATATTGTTAACATCCACAAAGATGCTTTTAGTAACCTGCAAAAACTTCAGACTTTAAACCTGTCCTGCAATTACATATCATCTCTCCACCGTGATGTCTTCAGTGACTTACATAATCTCACAGAGCTGCTCCTGGGAAACAATAATCTCACTAATATTGATATGTTCCTGTTTTCTAATTTGACAAACCTCAAGATTCTTGACCTACGCAGGAACCACCTGAAAAACTTTTCAGCTTTGGTTGAATGTATAACAAACCTGTCCAGCTTGATACAACTGGATCTTTCTTTTAACAAGCTAACCACCCTGCATCACTCCACCCGTCTGCCAAACTCGCTTGCCAAACTCTACCTCAGCGATAATAAACTACACAAACTGGGATGTGACAAGTCTTTCCTAAAGTATGTGAAAGTTCTAGATTTATCAGACAACACATTACTGTCATCCAAGACTTTTCAGGGCCTGAATCTGGAGTATATAAAGTATCTGCGCTTGCGCTTTACCAAAGTCTCTGCTAGGAAGCTTCTTAATTATACCAATATACAACCAAGGCACATCGACTTCTCTGGTTTGAATCTGAAAGATCATGCACTGACTTCGCTGTGTTTTCATCTGCATGATCATCAAATACCTAAAATGATACTCCAGAGCAATGCCATCAGAGTTCTAAACAAAAACACATTTTGTAATTGCTCTAATATCACTGATGTAATGGACCTCTCACGGAACAATATGAAAACCACAGGCTGCTTGCAGTTTCTGCACTGTCAGAAACAACTGGAAACTCTCAAGATTGAACATAACCATCTGACCAATCTAATGTCCTGCAAAAAATGTGAAAAGGTCTACAGCTTGAAAAGCCTGAGCTATCGATACAATCGTATTCTACAGGTTAATGGTTATGCCTTCAGTAATACACCAAAATTAACAAACCTTGAGCTAAACATAAACATAATTGCCTATTTGGACCATAAAGCCTTAAGTGGACTCAAAGATCTCAACACACTTCGTCTCGACAACAATCTTTTGACCGATATCTACAATGACACCTTTGAAGATCTTACCAGCCTGAAAACTCTCAACCTGCGCAACAACCAAATAGCTGTGATTTTCAACTATACCTTTCAAAATCTGTCAAATTTAACGATTTTAGATTTAGGGGGGAACAAGATCACGCAGATGAAGCCACATGCATTTGATGGGCTGGAAAGCTTGGCCAATCTGTATTTAGATAGAAATCGTCTGAAAGTGATTGACCGCATGCTCTTTGGAAAACTTCATGCCACCCTGCAGGTGCTGGATTTACAGGCTAACCACATCATGTACTTTACAGAACATACATACTCACCATTTATAAATATGTCAAGGCTTCTTGATCTGAAACTTGATGCACAGGAACCAAATGGCATAAACTTGTTGCCACGTGCATTTTTCCGTGGTCTAACTTCTCTGAAAAGACTTTACCTCTCTAACAACCATATCATTGGATTCGGTGCCGAAACATTTGATGACCTGAAATGCTTGGAGTTCTTAACTCTGGACAACTCATGTGTTGGGATCGCCCAGCTCAAACCTGGTATTTTCAAAAACCTTCGAAAATTAAATATTTTATCCACTGAGAACATGGGCATTACATCATTTTCTAAAGAGGTCTTTGGAAATCTCACAGGACTGAAGCAACTACATCTCAATCGCAATGCCATGATGTCTTTGGACATCAGTTTACTGGACAATCTGACCAATCTAACATACGTTGACTTGCGCAGCTGTCCTCTCAGTTGTGGCTGCCAGAATAGTGAACTACAGAACTGGACCTTAAGCAGTAAGAGACTCCAGTTTCCTTATCTTTTCAATATTACATGCCAAGACCATCCAGGCTCGTTTTTTTCAGTTTACTACAATATATTTTACCAAATATAAATGTAAATTGTTAAATCGGTTTGATGTAAAGTTTTGTAATTTTGTACTGCTTTATTAAAGAATATCACAAAATCATATGAATCTTTTTTTTTTTTTACTACAGAATACTGAACTTAATGATAAAATTCCAGTCAAGATATATAGAAGAAATCTGACTAAATAAAAAATAATAATAATCAAATAAATAAATAACCAATCAGCATCATTGTGAACAAGCATTTACCCTATTAATTCAGGAAAATAAACGATAACTAATGTGTGGTGCTTTTAATATGTGTGCAACACAAAGAGTGATTTGTATTTAAGAAGTTTCATTCACTCTTAATACCTGTATTACCAGTATATACCAGTTCACCAAAGAAATCATGACTGTTCATAATTTGAGCACACTGGACCCTCAAATTCAAATCTAATGTAGAGGTAATGGCCTTTCAAAAAAAAAAAAAAAAAATAATATATATATATAAGGTTAACTGCAATGCAAACTTCATCCAAAAATTGCACCAAACAAACGAATTCAGTTGTGAAAAAAATAACGTTACTGTATTTGTGGTTTTCATAGGATGCGTACAAAGTACATTAGCTACAGTACAACTTGTCAAAAGGTCATCATGAGTTTTAATATTTTGTATGCTTAAAACACAACGTTGTACTCAAAATGATTAAATTAAACGGTCTAATATGAGGATCCATATGAAACGCTTTTGGAGAACATGTAACCGGTCATGTCCCGCTATGTCTCTCCTCAGGAAGTGATGAGTGAAGATTCTAACCCTGCAGCCTCACCCAGGGTTAACTGCAATGCAAACTTCATCCAAAAATTGCACCAAACAAACGAATTCAGTTGTGAAAAAAATAACGTTACTGTATTTGTGGTTTTCAAAGGATGCGTACAAAGTACATAAACTACAGTACAACTTGTCAAAAGGTCATCATGAGTTTTAATATTTTGTATGCTTAAAACACAACGTTGTACTCAAAATGATTAAATTAAACGGTCTAATATGAGGATCCATATGAAACGCTTTTGGAGAACATGTAACCGGTCATGTCCCTCTATGTCTCTCCTCAGGAAGTGATGAGTGAAGATTCTAACCCTGCAGCCTCACCCACCCCCTGTCAGGACATACAGGGAGATGGTCGATGGATGTCACTGGTGCTTCTTTTGTATAATAATATATTTACAACCTTAGTGTCCCTATTAGGCTGCTTATATATTACTTTGTTTTAAACACTTAGCCAGTACCTTCTCTAATATGCAAAGGGAGTCTTAATAGCATTTTTATGTGTTCTCATCTTGCAGCACAATCGATTTGTATCAGACAGTAAAGGAAAAGAGCCTGATGTTCTGTTTGTTGGCGATTCACTTGTCCAGCTTCTGCATGAGTTTGAGGTATAGCAAAGTATCTGCATCTCCTTCTTCATTCTTCATATCTGTCATTCATATCAGTGACTGCACACATATTTATTGTTCAAAAGTGACAGAAATACTGTAGCATCACAGTTTCAACAAAAATATTTAACAGCACAGCTGTTGTCAACATTGATAATGATAAGAAATGTTCCTTGAGCAGCATATTACAATGAAAGATCATGTGACACTGAATACTGGCGTTACGGCTGCTGAAAATTCAGCTTTGCCATCACAGGAATAAATATTCTAACATTTTATAATACATTTTAAGTTGTAATATTTCACAATATTACAGTTTTTACTGTATTTGTGATCAAATAAATTGCAGCCTTGGTGAACAAAAGACTTATTTCAAAAACATTATTTCTAAAGAAAAGTCTACTAACCCCCAACTATTGAACGGTAGTGTATATTCATTATATATTAATTTTGACCTTTTATTATCAGTTTAGCTGTTGTTTTAAATAGAAACCCCCCTTTTTTCTCCATTATCAATGTATCTTTCATGACATATAAAAACTGTAGTATCTCAGTCGTTATCTCAGACTGTTATAATGCTTTTTCATCAGACTTGTTGGCTATAATGGAATGTAATACTCTTTCTTTCCTTTTCACTAGGGGTTGCTGCCGAGAGGTAAAAGTCCAAACCCTCTTCGCGAGCGTAATGCGAGTGTGAATGCTCTAGTTCAGGCTGAGGTAGCGTCTCTGTCTCATGTCTCCTTTCTGGACGTGGACCCTGGGTTCATTCACTCAGACGGTTCCATCGCACATCAGGACATGTATGATTATCTGCACCTCACGCCGCAGGCCTACCAGAGGGTGTGCCAGCCCTTACATGAACGCATCAAATCCCTGTTAGATAAACATGCTCCCTGAACACAAAACAAAATACAGTACAGCATACACCCTTTCCTGCACGTGAACGGATGTTTCATCCTTTATGCTCTACAATTAGGGCATTACTGAGATATAAACACCTTCAGGAAAACTAACGACTATTTAATAGACACAAACGCGCATATATATATATATATATATATATATATATATATATATATATATATATATATATTACATTTTCTCTATCTATATATTTTCTGTCTTCCCATCCAAATCTTACCACTCTACTGTAAGCGCCACTAATTAATTACAGTGTGTCATGTTATTTTAATCCACGTTTCTCTTTTGTGTTTCTGTTTGTTCTGCAGGAGCCGAACACTGTTTCCGAAATTTCAGCGCTCCAACCGGAGTGATTGAGTCTCCTGGTTTCCCTGACAAGTACCCTCATAATTTGGAGTGCTCCTTCATCATCATTCCTCCTCCTCAGACAGAGGTCACACTCACCTTCCAGACCTTTGACCTGGAAAACGACCCTTTGCTGATGGGGGAAGGAGAATGCAAGTATGACTGGCTGGA